TTCAGTTTAATCATTCACAAAACAGGAAAACCGTCATCCCAACCTGAATGGTTGGGAAAACAAGATGAGAACAGAGGTAAAAGTGTGCTTGCATTAAAGCACTATACAAAAACACAATACAGTTAAGAAACTGCTAGATTTGAGCTTAACTTGTGAGCCTGTTGAAGGCAGGGACTACGTATTACTGCTTGTGGTATCCTTAATAAATGTGTCTCAAACATATTTTGAATGAATGGTCAGCCAACGTTTTTTAAAATATTTACTTATTTTTGAGAGACAGACAGTGTGTGAACAGCGGAGGGACAAAGAGAGAGGGAGACACAGAACCCAAAGTAGGCTCCAGGCTATGTGCTGTCAGCGCAGAGTCTGATGCAGGGCTTGAACCCATGAACCATGAGATCACGACCTGAGCCAAAGTTGGACAGTTACTGACAGAGCCACCCAGGCGTCCTGCCACCAAACTCTTTGTAATGTCACCATTTTAGTGCTCATCATCTCCTGGTCTGATGACAGACACACTGCCCAATTAAGGAAGATGTAGATTTCCTGTAACAAATTCTCTGATCTCAATCCTAAAAGCTAGTATCTCTGCCAGGTAGCTTGCTAACACAACCAGTTAGCTCAGTTAAGATGGCAGATCCATGAATGTGATTGCAGACTGTAATAATGCCTCCTGTATCAATCTAGTTATTATTTCAGCAACTGGCCGGTCTGAGTATTGTCATATGAAACAACAATTTAGCTGACTATAAATACTTAAAGTCATATACACAAGCTAAACTCACAAATATCCATAAAACTACTGAAACCATAAGTTAAGGATAAATGAAGATAGATAGTATCAAGGGAGTCTCATTCTTGAAGCCCATTTTCATCAACAAAATAATCCTGGAGAGTAGTGGGAATGTGGTCTATGATCATGAAGACTGGACAGATTAAGAAATGGTGTTTGGTAGGAGTGATTATGGGTAGAGTAAGTCTCCTACAAGGACCATCATGGCCAAAGAACTGGAATGAACCAACTCCTGCTTCTCTACACAAATGGTTTTACTCTCCCTGCCCTCATCCCATCCCATCCATCCCCTCCATTTCTGACTCTTCCATTAGCACGACAGCAGCAGCCTCAAGTCCAGTAGTGCACCTACCTTCTCTAAAGAGCACTTAGCCAGACCTAAGCAGGAAAGGCCCTAGGCAGAGGAATGGTCTCTGCTCAATCATGTTTGATACTGGATGTGACAAGGACATTCTGACACAGTCCTTGACATCAGGGGGATTTTGATGTAGCTGTTTTAAACTGGTCATTTTGATGTGATTATTTTGACCCAACATGAAAGTTGACCATTAAACTTTAGCATTTCTCCCTCAAATAATGTAAATGACGTGTCTATGGTGGTCTAAACCACCACCCCAATCCAGGACAGGATAATGGTAGTGCCTATTGTGCTCTACCTGGTAATTAAAAGGAAAAAAAGGTTTCCATTTTGACAAGGCTATTTTGATGCAGCCTTGTCACAATCATACTCTGGCCAAATTCTGGCAGCTGGTTTGGAACCACTTGTGAGAATGCTTCTCTATAAAACTAAGGACCAACCAACCTGGGGTGAGCCATTCACAACAGCTTTGTGCTTTTAAGTACTAACTGCTGAGCTGATTCAATGTCTTCTCCCTCTGGTTCTGGAAGCCTTTGGAGCCAGGTGGTCGTGAGAGGGCCAGTTCTACCCCGAGTCCTCAGAGGGCCGCAAGCATTTACAAACTGGCAAGGAATCTCAACCAATTCAGGGGGTTTCTTGGAAGTCCATCTCGAGTCCACTGTATCAGTTTTCCCCCTTAATTTCAGAGAAGCAGTTACCAAGAATATACTTCTAGGAAGCCTTCTAAAGGGTAGAATACAAATATTCCCAAAGCTCACATACATGTTTTTTGAATTTTATTTTCTCTTTTTAGATGTGGTTACTCAACCAAATGAGAATGCATCTGCTATTTATGCAAAATGCTGCTTAACTGCTCAACTGCTCGATTCTACAGTGTAGAAGACAATTTTCAAAGTTTGTCTGGATTATCTACATCAGGGCTGGGATGAGGTAACCTACCTCTACAGATGCTTTTCCTTTGGTTGGTTAGGGCATTGAAGGCCAGTGTTAAGAAGGTAACACTTTGTGCGTTACTTCAAAATGTATCATAAATAAAAAACAACTTTCTGTGGCTGAAAGAACCTCACTTAGAGAAATGTTGATTTATTACCGTCATCTCTCCCTGAATAGGCCAAAATAATTAAGCCCTCTTCTCTTATGGCTAGGTCTTAGGAGGACAAAATCATGAAAGAGCCTTTTTGAAGAAGATGGACTCCAGAAAACCAGGTTCTGCTCTGATGAGCAGGGACAGCAGGGATCTCACAAAAATCTGAGCCCTGGTGATGGCCTGGAGGTGGCAGGGCTGACAAAGGGTATACAGCGTGATAGCCAGAAATTCAACTTCGTCCTTTAGCTGTCCCAAGGACAGGAAAGCTGGTGACCTGCAGAGCACAAATGAGGCCCAGAATTAACACCACAGTCACAATAACCACACCCATTCAACGGAAAGCAAACCTGGATCCAACAGAATACTTAAGCTGGGGTCAGGGGTGAGGAAATAAAGGGATAGGTGATTAGGACCATTTTTACCTTTTTCCTTGGTACACAACAAATGAGCTTACTTTCTTCATTAAAAGAAAAATGCTTAGGATTAAGGAGTACTTAATTTATTTTTATTTATTTATTTTTTTAATTTTTTTTTCAACCTTTATTTATTTTTGGGACAGAGAGAGACAGAGCATGAACGGGGGAGGGGCAGAGAGAGAGGGAGACACAGAATTGGAAACAGGCTCCAGGCTCTGAGCCATCAGCCCAGAGCCTGACGCGGGGCTCGAACTCACGGACCGCGAGATCGTGACCTGGCTGAAGTTGGACGCTTAACCGACTGCGCCACCCAGGCGCCCCAGGAGTACTTAATTTAGTTGAAACATGCGGGCAGGCTAGGGAGAAGTGAAATAAGCTATATAATAATGATCATTACCCATCAAAAGACATGTGAAGGTCTACCCACATCAGGGTGTTAGTTTCAGATAGAAAACTCTTGGAAGGCAGAGTATGTGTTTGTAGCACCTACAGCTTGTGCAATTATTATGAGTTTGAAGAAGGACCAAACCTCCAGGGGAAAAAAAAAGCTGACCTACTCTGGCCAATACTTTCAGTCACTATTATCTCCAGAGTGTCAGGCAACTACTTAATTACATGACAAAGACACAAGCCCCCCAAGGCATCTTGAGACATAGCCTGATGCCAATTTCCCCCTCAAAGAGACAAGCAATTGCTGCTGTAGGTAGGTAATGAAATAGGCTATACTTGTGCCTCGATCCAGATTACTTCTTGAAGGAATGGGATAAAGTCATGCTTTCTATTTAATTCAAGATGTGCAAACATAATACAGAGCAGAAAATTCTCCTGGATCCTGAACTCTGCTTTTGCTGTAAACCCACATGTTAAATACAGGATATTTCTCAGTCTTCAATATGCTTGAGAGAATGGAAATCTGAAACAGCAAACGCCATAGCACAAAATTTATTAGAATTATTTACCAAGTAATTTCATATACATCCAACATCAGGAAATGTCAGTTAATTTAAAAAAAAAAGAAAGAAAGAAAAGCAAAAAAAAAGCAAAGCTTCCACTAAGGTCTTTCAAAACAGTGAAAACCTCCTTGGTGACTTTAACAAACGGAATGACTAAACTAATGAAGTCCGATGTATCTCAGTCAAATCCTAAACACAATATTGCCAACATGTTTTTCTACTCAAAAGCAAACTAGCAAAGGCTCATAATTTCGTAATTACGATGTTTCTTGATTTGTGTTCTCAAATGCCACAAAAGGCTGTGATGAAAGGAAGCAAAGTGCCTCGTCTCAGCAGTCTTCTTAAAAACCTCACGTTTGCTTCCCAAAATCAGTATAAACATTTAGATTCCCCCATCTGATGAATTTCTTCACTTATTTGAGCAGGAATGCTCTCAAAACCTTATAGTCTTTACTCTTGCTTCATACTGCAGCTTTTTGATTAAACCACCAGCAAAATCCCTCGTATCTGCTGAACTAAATCACCAGACAAGAATTTGTTATAGTCTCTTCCAGGAAACCAAGATAATCTCAACACAAATTTTGGTGGCTAATATGATCCATCCCTTATATTTTGTTTCCTAATGGCAAGTATGTTGAAAAATATATCATTAATAAGTGAATTTCATAACACACAGAAATAAATGAACCTATTATACTGTAAGAACATCCACAAGTTGTCCTCACTATTCCCAATGACTTTATACTTCTAATTCTTCTTTTTCTTTTTTTAAGTAAACTCTACGCCCAATGTGGGGCTTGAACTCAAACCATGAGATCAAAAATCACATACTTTACACCACTGAGTCAGCCAGGCGCTCCTATTCCCAATGACTTTAAATATAAAATCTAATTAAACAAAAACAAAATTCCTTACCCTTTTTAACCCTGTATACCAAACAGTATAAGGGCTAAAAATGAGAAACATTTTAATAAATCTCACATTAAGAACCTTGGAAATAACTCTTCATTAGTAATGGCAGAAAAAGATAAGAAAGGGGAACACAAATTTCTCAGAGATTTTTTAAAGGAAGAATGGATTTAAGGGAAAATTCCTTTGGACTCAATAGCCTTTTTAAAATCGCCTTTTTAAAATTCTGTACCTTTCAATGCTTCAACATGATGCCAAAAAAGAATTTACTAAATAAAAGTAGCCAGGAAGGAAATCAAACATTTATAAGATATATTTATTATTTTTCTGACCAAAGTGCAATGATTTTTAAATGTCCTTAAATAACTGAAAAAAAAATTATTCAAGAAAATAAACACAAATGGGAAATTTAACCATTAGATTTTTTTTACTTCATACCAACCCTACATTTAATCTAGAAAACAAATAAAAACAAAAAACAAAAAACTCTGAATGAAATGTTATTAAAATGCTAACCAAATCATTTTACCATAAACCCAGTACATGCATTTCAAGGTTCCCCTGCTAGGAATTTTGTTAAGATCCGTTTAATCATTAATAATAATAACACTATATAATGGAGCACAGGAACACATGTCATTTGATGTGATCCTGCCCCTTACCCTCAGATTTATGTCAGAATAAAGCTGACAATTCTCCCAGGCTCTGAACCCCCAGCGACCCCATCCCAATCCCTGGAAGCAAAGAAGATGCCTTGTCATACAACTTTGTATAAGTTGTAATAAAACAAAGCCTTAAGTTTTCTTATCTTTCTGTAGGAAATGGTCAGTTATTTGATAAATACTAAAACACTTCTAGGAATTCATTTTATGAGTTTGTTTACCAAACACATTTTGCAAGAACTGACTACACAAAAAGTTCCTTTGGAATTTGGTCCACAAATTCGCTTAACAGGTTGGAAATGTAAAACCTACAAGAAAACAAAGAAGTGGGGAATCCCTAATCTTAATATGTTGTAATTACTAAAGGGATATACACACAGACTACAGAGTTTTGCTCACAGAAGGCACAAACTATAAAAGGGATATGCTTTTTGAGGAAAAACAAAGAACTAGCTGATATCCTTCTTTGTTTTGTGAGCACCATAGCTAAGATGAAGTTAGACCCGAATTCACTGTCTACTCCTGTAACCAGAAAAATTGAAGATAAAAAATTTAATTTGTCTTACTACATACTTTCCAGCCATTCATTGAGATGTAATTATGAAAGATTAAAATTGCCTTAAAAAGGGGTTGTAATAGCAGCTATCAAAGCAATATTCAAGCATGATTTCAAGGATGCTTTCAGGTTTAGAGTTAGCCTTCTTTGTCAAAAATCTTCACAACTTCATCAAAAACCTGTAAAGGACAAAGAGCAGTAATTTAAAAAGGAAGTATTATTAAAATACTATATGGCTAAGTTCCTGTTTAGAAGTCCATTTTTTTATTAATTTTCAAGATGTATCATTTAAAAAAATACATTAATTCCTTGGTTTCATCTATTTTCCTTTGGACCTCTCCCCAGCTCGTGCTTTGTCTGTCTCTCTCTCTCTCAAAAATAAAAAAACATTGGGGCGCCTGGGTGGCGCAGTCGGTTAAGCGTCCAACTTCAGCCAGGTCACGATCTCGCGGTCCGTGAGTTCGAGCCCCGCGTCAGGCTCTGGGCTGATGGCTCAGAGCCTGGAGCCTGTTTCCGATTCTGTGTCTCCCTCTCTCTCTGCCCCTCCCCCGTTCATGCTCTGTCTCTCTGTCCCAAAAATAAATAAAAACGTTGAAAAAAAAATTAAAAAAATACATAAATAAATAAATAAACATTTAAAAAATAAAAAAATAAAGATAGAGAGACACTAGAAAAGAGCTGCTGGGCACTGAGGGCTTGCACAGCAGTTTAGAGATCAGGATTTTTACAGAGTGGGAGGGAAGGGCTGGGCGCGGAAGCCCTGCGCCCCTGGGGCTCTGTGCTCTGTGACGAAGAGATGGAAGCTGCCTGGGGCCCTTGCTCTAGAAGACTCGCCATTCACTTAGAGATTTTAAAAGATGAATGTGGTCCAAATCACAGTTCTCAAAATGCCAATTTTCCAGTGCTTGAGAAAAGAGGTTTGGAATTAATAAACCACCCACTTCTTATGAAGAACAAGTCTGAAGTTGTAAAATCTATTTTAGACTCTATTCAAAAAAGGAGAAAAAAAAAATCTCATTTTTCACTAAGTCTCCCAGGTCTTGAAAAGCAAACAAACTAATCTGTCATCTTCTTTTTCTCCTGCCTACCTACCCCTTGTCCCCCAAATCACATTTTTACTGGACTTTTCTTTTAAGGCAAGCTAGGGATACTCACTTCATCAACAGACTTAGAGGCATCTATTTTCTTGACTTTCCCCATTTCTTCATATAAGTCAATAATTGGCTTTGTTGACTGAAGATAGGTCTGAATTCTGCAAAAGCAGCACATATTGCAAGGTTCTAAGTATCCACCCGCTCTCCCCCACGTTATGGAACAGCTCAGAGCACAACCCAGACCCGACCCAACCGACTCCCTTACCATCTCCTTAGACCACACACTTTACATATTTAAGCATGCCAGTTTCTTTTTCTGGACCAAAATGAGGCAGGTATTTAATCTGTGACTCAAGTTCCAAAATGAGCCCAAGGTGGTGATGTGTAAAGTCTGCAAAGTACCTCTTTTCCAAGCTCTCTCTGTTGTCATCACTTCTACCACTACTCTTTCCCCTCTCAAGACACCGTTCAATACAGATCTAGAAAGAGAAATAAATAGTACAAAAAAAAAAAAAAAAGATGTGAATTTCACATTTGCCATTCTTTTAACCTGAATGAGAACAAAGTTTGAAGAGATCACAAAAAAACCCTACATTAAAACTAATTTGTCTAATTCATTAATCAACATGCAAAGTCCTTTTAAATTTAAACATGTGGTTCAATTTATATAAACTAGGTTAAATAAGCACAGAGCATAATAAGAATTCATTCATGACTCAGTTTTTCCTGTGTACTTTTTTTTAAACCGCAATAAAAAGAAGATCTGTATGTGTATGCTTCCATCCAGGATATATTATTAACTTATTAGGTATGAATTACATGCCTCAAACTTTGTTCCATTTTGCTTACTTTTTGATAATTCCATAAATATCCAAATATTTAAGAGTCAACATATTTGCATTTGAATAAAGTATCCCTTGTTAATCGTGAATAAACATTCCTTAGTTATAAAGCTGTGGTAACATTCTAAAGTCAACTTTGAAGCATAAGTGAAAACATATTTTTGGGGGTTGGAAAAAGAGAGTTACATTTTAAAACAACTCAAAGGCTGCAACAAGCCTCTCCACCAGAGGCACATTTGCAATTCAGCCCAAGAATAGCCAACTTCCTTCAAGGCAGTTCTTTAGATTCTTATTCTTCCAGGCTGTTGGCATTAATTTAATGAAGTTCTACTGCAGCTGTCAAATAGTCAGGCCTTTTAATTAAATGACTCTGAGAAATTTGGTTATTCAAAGGTATGTCTGGGTATATTATTAGAAGTGCCAGAAAGAAAAAGAACGCTTTCCTGCTTTTTGCAAGATCATTTCACTCTTAGAAGACAAATCAAGCTATCTTGTATGTTTCTTTAAAAATAGTAAGTTTTGGGGCGCCTGGGTGGCGCAGTCGGTTGGGCGTCCGACTTCAGCCAGGTCACAATCTCACGGTCCGTGAGTTCGAGCCCCACATCAGGCTCTGGGCTGATGGCTCGGAGCCTGGAGCCTGTTTCCGATTCTGTGTCTCCCTCTCTCTCTGCCCCTCCCCCGTTCATGCTCTGTCTCTCTCTGTCCCAAAAATAAATAAATAACGTTGGGAAAAAAAAAATTAAAAAAATAAATAAATAAATAAAAATAGTAAGTTTTCCCAACTTCCGAAAAATGTTGCCCTAACGTCCTAAGGCAAGATACTCTCTGATAAGAGTGCATCCCTACGAGGTAACACTGCAGTTTCATTACCTAACATTATTGTACAAGTCAATTCTTAAAACAAACACAGTACTGCTATTTTGAAAATAAAGCAAATTTTAGGTCCACAAGGTTGCTGATGCCAAATAGTTTCTAATAGTCCAACAGCAATACAGTGCTGTTCCATCCAACCAATTTACCAGTTCAAAGCAATACTGCTGCTGACATAAAATATAAGTAAAAAATCACTTTGTGTTTCTCTAATAGTTGACCATCAGTTGGTTAAACCCCATGTGGGCAGATGAAGGTCTTCATTACCTCATTATTACAGTCAAAAAACAGAACAAAAGACACTTCTGCCTTCCCATCCATGGTCTTATTCCAACCTTGAAGGTTGTCTTGATTTCTTGGAAACCCATCAATCAAGAATTTATTCTTCTGAGCATTGGCAGCCATTGTCTGATCCATTTCCTAAAAGAAAAGGAAGATTTAGGTTCAATATAACATTAACAAAATACAACTTCTTAAGGAAGGGGGGGGATATATGAGTGTTTGCTTTGTTATTATTATTCTTCAAATCATGAGTAGAGTGGAGGGTGCATGAGGAAAAAAAACAACAACAAGACTTAAAGGAGATGATCAGGCAGGGCCCCTGGGTGGCTCAGTCGGTGAAGCGTCCGACTTTGGCTCCAGTCATAATCTGGCAGTTCATGAGTTTGAGCCCTGCATTGGGCTCTGTGCTGACAGCTCGGATTCTGTGTCTCCCTCACTCTCTGCCCCTTCCCCACTTGCATTCTTTCTCTCAAAAATAAATAAACATTAAAAAAATTTTGGAAGGGGGGGGTGGCGCCTGGGTGGCTCCGTCAGTTAAGCATCCGACTTCAGCTCAGGTCATGATCTCACAGCTTGTGGGTTCGAGCCCCGCGTCGGGCTCTGTGCTGACAGCTCAGAGCCTGGAGTGTGCTTTGCATTCTGTGCCTCCCTCTCTCTCTGACCTTCCCCCACTCACTCTGTCTCTCTCTCTCTCAAAAATAAATGAAGTGTTAAAAAAAATTTTAATTTTTTTAGGTTATAAATTAAAATTAAAAAAAAAAAAAAAGAAAAAAAAAAGATGATCCAGTGTAGTAACACAGTCACCTCAAGTTGGTGGAGTTATGGTATATACCCCTTCCCCATTTATACATATTAATAGACATACACACAGTTTCTTTTTTGTGCAGTTTCTGAATTTTCTACAGTAAGCATATATTACTTTCACATATAGATTCACAAAGTTATAAACAGCAAAAAGAAAATAGGCATTAACCAGTATCTTTGCTTAGCCATCAGAGACCCTATTCCTTCCTCTCCCCTCTCCCAAGTCATTTTTGCTGTGCTAAGAAGAACGCTACTTCTTCAGGTATTAAGACTCTCTGCAATAATTCAAGTCCAATTGCAAAAAATCCTTGGACAAATATAAAGAGACTGCCAGCATTAATTATTAGTATAAAGTTAATAGTTTTTTCAACTAAAGCTAATTAAGCTACCCAAAACACAGGTAGCAGAGGAAAGAACAGACTCAAGAAAGATAGCAAGAGCAGCACGTTTCGCCATCCTGTGCCAGTGTGAATTTGGGCACAATGTGACAATATGTGACAGGAGATGTAGATCTCTAGTCTCTAAATCCTCACCACTGCCAGCCCCCATTGGGTACACACTGACACATGACTTTGACCAACTCCAGAGCAGCCTCTATTCCAGACACCAACATCTAGTCCCCTCAGTGCTCAAACTGTTTCCTAGTTCTTCAAAAAGAGCGAGGGCTGTCAGGCCCCCTAATTCCTTTCTTTGTCTGAGGGTTGGCTTTGTCCCATCATCTAGCTTTTCCAATATTCTCCAATAATACAAAACTATTACAGAATGTTTTTGGGCCCCTGCTATAGCATTTCTACCCCAATTATGGTAGCGGAAGATACCTGAAGAGGTGCATCAATATTCCACCATCACATACATTTACTCAAGGCCTATAACCAGGGAACATGAAGAGCAAAGTCATGGCTCCTGGGGGCTCATAGTTCAGCAGGTAACAAATATGTGTAAGTAAATGTGCTAAGTCCTATGATGAGGTATGAAAGGATGCTATGATAAAACAAAGAAATTAAGCACAAACCACCTGGGAAACTGCTAGAGAGAGCTTTACCAGGGAGGTGGCCATGGAGTCCTAAATAATGAAGTGGCAAGCAGACAGGGATCAAGGTACTCCAAAGAGTGTAAACTGGATAGATAAAGGCTCAGAAATGAGAAAGCATAACAGCTTTGATGAATCTGAAGTAAGCTGAGACAGTTGAATATTAGGACACATGTAGAGAGTAGTGGGAGATAGGACTAGAAAGTAGGTAGGGGCAAGATTAATGAAGAACTTATTATGTCACACTAAGGAACTGGTTTTTATCCTGGAAGCAACAGAGGACCACTAAGGAATTTTAAGCAGAAGAATATGCTTACATCACCTTCTGGAAAAAAATCACCTTGACTGTACCATGAAGGACGAACTCGAAGGGGACAAGCATGGATTAAAGGCAAAAGACTCATGAGGAGGCTCCAATAATGGTCCAGGTAAGAAAAAGAGGATCTGAACTAAGGTGACAGTAGTAATAGAGAAAACAGACTAAGTCAAAGAGGGTTAAGAGGAAGATAATCGGGGTGCCTGGATGGCTCAGTCAGTTAAGCATCTGACTCTTGGTTTCGGCTCAAGTCATGATTACGGTTCATGAGTTCAAGCCCCGCATCAGGCCCTGCGCTGACGGTGCAGCATGGAGCCTGTTTGGGATTCTGTATCTCCCTATCTCAGCTCCTTCACCACTTGCACTCTCTCTTGCTCTCTCAAAATAAATAAATAAACTTAAAAAAAGGAAAGTCACTGGAAGAGCTGCTCACTGAATGGATTTGGGAAAGTGAAGAAGAGGTGGAAAATACAGGATGGCCCCAGGTTTCTGGCTTGGGCAGCTGCACAGATGGCAGAACCATTGACCAGGACAAGAAATAAAAGGTGATCACATTCTCGAGGTTATGCTGATAACGCTGAGATACTTGTCAAATACTCAGATGGATGTCTAGTAGTCAGAAATATAGGTCTGGAGTTCAGAAAAAAAAGATGTGTGCCAGCGCTGTAGGTTTTAGCATTTATTAGCACAGTGAAAGCCTTGGGCATGGCTAAAACCATCCATCACGAAATATATAAAAGGAGAGGAGAACCAAGGATAAAACCCTGCGAAGCATCATGGTTTAGAAACTTGCAGAAGATGAGCTATCAAAGGAAACATAAGAAACAACAGCCACTGAAGTAGGAAAGAATAAAAAAAATGGTATCACAGAGAACAAAGAAGGTTTGAGAAGATATGAATAGAGTTAACTGCTATGAGAAAAACGAAGACAAATATCCCCTAGATTTGATAAGGAAGAACATTGGTAACAACAGCAAGAATCGTTTCAATGAAGATGGAAACAGTACCTGACTCCAAAGGGTTGAAGAGGAGGAAGTAAAAAAGTGAAAAATGCAGACCACTTTTTCACAGTGCTTAGTGATAAAGTGGAGAAAAAGGCATTAAATCCAGAGAATAGGGGAGGATACACTCTGGAGTGGAAGCAGGTTACTCCCATCTCTGAAACAAAAGGTAAGAATGTGTGTAAATGAGCCACTACTCCTCATCCTCAAGGTTCTGTGGTTCTGTCCTGGTGCTCAGATATCTCTTTTCCATTGGGCTTCAACTATTTCTTACTGTTCTCACTCTTGCATTTCTCCTTCACTATTTCTTATATATGAAAAAACCTGTTAATAAATAGTCTTAGAAATCTATAGTGGAGAGTTACCATGTAAATCCAAGATCTCTGTTTTTAAGATGGGACATATTATAATTTCATAGCTATTAATCTTGGCATTTCACACCGAAGATGGTGACACATTGACCAGAAAAGGAAACATCGAAATTGAGAGCCGGGCAACAATGAGAGGGTCATGGGAAGCAGGAAAAAAAGGAAGGGGGAGAATGAAGGAAGGAAGAAAGAAGGCTTACAAGAAAACAGAAAAGGGAAAGGACGTGGGGAAGGAAGAAGAGGAGGGGAAGGAAAAAAGGAAGAAGACAGAAATGGAAGTGAGACAATTTCTGCACGTTGGGGAAGGATCAAGTACACACATATGGATGTTAAGTTCAGCTGTAGCCGATCCTAGTTCTAGGCAGAGAATGCTTGCTACTGTCCAATTTCTTCCCAGGTGAAAAGTAGAATTTCTAGTTCTGCCATTCTCAAACACCATGACCACCTACCACAAGCAAGAAACTTAGTACTCTCATTTTTTTTTCATTACTCAAAGGAAAGGTAGATTTACTTTCTCATTTCCTTGCTGGTTTGAACTGGTTGGCATTCACTCCTTACCCTCTTTAACAAACTGATGGTTATCTCAACTGGCACAATCTTTCCATCTTTAATGTACTTTTCAATGAGTTCACCATACTGTGAATCTGGGTTCTTCCTTTCATCACGAAGGAGTTCTCCTGCAGAAAGGTGTGTGTAGCCATATTTCTGAAAGGAACAACACAAAGGGAAAAAAATTAGAATATATTCAACCCAATGATAGGACTATCAATTTTTTTCCTTCATGTTAATTTCTATGTTCTAATTTTTCTACAATAAATAAGCTTTGCTTGTACATTAAACAAATAATTGTTAAAAATTTAAAGAGATTTCATACAATCAAATTTGCTTAAAAAATACTCTTAACCTGGTAGGGCATGGTGGCTACAATGTTCACACACCACAAAATCATCCAGGAATTTGTGTAACTATTCAAGGCATTAACATTTCATTATAATCCCTCACAAAACACAGTTTAAATGTCATTAATAATGTTCAAAAATGCATAACAAAAACCTATACAATTCAAGGCAAAAAAAATAAAAATAAAAAATCCTACCAGTGTTGGCTGTATCCACCTTCTACAAAATCTCTACTTCCGTTCCTTAAACTCAACACACCTAAACTGAACTCATCAGCATTTACACTAACCCCATTCTTCTGGTCTGTTCCCTTTCTCAGTAAATAGCAGAAGTCCTACCTCCTACACAAAATTAGCTTCGAGAGTGGTCACATTAATCAAATAGAGCCTTCTCTACCTATCACTGTATCACTGTCTCTCTACCTAGACCAGTACCTTCCTTACCTTTCTTCAAAGTCCACTGCCTCTTCCTCCTCTAGTTGCAACTAGAGGTCTCATCTGTAAATTGGGAATACACATAGCTATTTTATAAGTTATGGCTAAATAAGATAATGTATATACATTGCCTACCAAAAAGCCTGCACATAGCAGGGGATAAAAGTCACCAATTACTTCATTGCTATTATGAAGATACTTATCTTAAATAAGCTAGAAGCATTTTTTCTATTATATATACACCATTTTATATGTGTGTACACAAACACCCACACATGCATATGTACTCATTTTGATGGTTTTTTTTTTTTTTTAATTTTTTTTTTTCAACGTTTATTTTTTTTTGGGACAGAGAGAGACAGAGCATGAACGGGGGAGGGGCAGAGAGAGAGGGAGACACAGAATCGGAAACAGGCTCCAGGCTCTGAGCCATCAGCCCAGAGCCTGACGCGGGGCTCGAACTCACGGACCGCGAGATCGTGACCTGGCTGAAATCGGACGCTTAACCGACTGCGCCACCCAGGCGCCCCATTGATGGTTTTTATAGAAAGACCAATCAAGAGGCTTAACTGAGGTAATAGCTATGAATAGCCAACGAAAAGTCAGTAGTATAATTATGACTATGACGATCATTATTATGTAGGACTTACAAATGATGCACTAGGTGCAGGGTACAAGGTAGTAGTTGAATTAAGTCATATAAAATGCTACAGTATTGTGGGCGCCTGGGCGGTTCAGTCGGTTAAGTGTCCGACTCTTGGTTTCGGCTCAGGTCAGGTCATGACCTCGCAGTTCATGAGTTCAAGCCCCGCATCAGGCTTCAGGCTCTGCCCTAACAGCACGGAGACTGCCTGGGATTCTCTCTCTGCCCCTCCTCTGCTCTATCTCTCAAAATAAATAAACAAAAAAACCAAAAAACAACAACAAAAAAGGTACAGTATTGGTCTGCCGTTTCCCCATGACTGGAATGAGAAAACAATGCTGATCTAAGAGACCATTCTGAATAATGAAAAGCTTCTTCCTCTACATGAACATATACATTCCCTTTTATTAAGTCAAAAGAACTAAAGAATCTTTTTTTTTTTTTTAGTTTTTATTTATTTATTTTGAGAGAGAGAGAGACCCTGTGAGTGGAAGGAGGGGCAGGGAGAGGAGGAGAGAGAGAATCCCAAGCAGGCTCCACAGTCAGCGCAGAGCCCAACACGGAGCTCCATCCCACAAACCCATGAGATCATAACCTGAGCAGAAATCAAGAGTCAGACGCTTACTGGGCCACCCAGGTACCCCTAAAATCTATTTTTACAACATTTTTACTCTCAAATATCAGGGCATTCAGAACTATATTCAATTTTTGGTTACAAAAATCATCTCTCCCCAAATTCTTAAGACTCCCTAAATGAGACTTTATCTCATGCATACTTAAGTGTGCAATAAACGTTTAAGATCTTAAATTTATCTTTAATTCCAACATTAAGATTTGAGGAAGCCTACAATCCCACCTCCTACTTTTAAAGTACAATGTTTCGGGGCGCCTAGGTGGCTCAGTCGGTTAAGGTCTGACTTCAGCTCAGGTCATGATCTCGCTGGGTTTGTGAGTTCGAGCCCCGTGTCGGGCTCGGTGCTAACACCTCAGAGCCTGGAGCCTCCTTCAGATTCTGTGTCTCCTCCTCTCTCTGCCCCTCCCATGCTCATGCTCTGTCTCTATCTCTCAATAATAAATAAACGCTAAAAAAATAAAAAATAAATAAAGTACAATGTTTCAATTGCACTCATAAAAACTCTCTCAATTACCCAGGTTATGGTGAGTCTTCTTTTTTTGGATTACAGAAGCCTTACATTCTTTACCCCTTTTCTATTTCCAAACATCGTTGGCTAAACTTATTCTTGCCGAACTAGTTCTAAGCTAGCAGTAAGGTAGTCAGCAAAGGAAAACAAACTCTAAAATAGTTTATTTGCTGACTAAAATTGGGCATAAAGTTGGAGGAGAATAAACAAAACCGCAGTGTCACTCATGTCTCTTAGTCACACAGTCCCTACCATTAGAATAATCAAAAGTGTATTTAGTTGTTATAATAGGGTTTAAAGAAAAAAAACCCCTCCCATCGTTTACAGAAAATGGAAATACAAAATGTTTAATTATTTAAACTGTTATTTTAAAATTACTTCCACACACCATTTTTAAATGCCTATTTTGATCACCAAGCATAAGCAAACTTCTGAAAATGGGTGTTGTAGAAAAGGCCTTATAAAAAAAATGAGGCGTGACCCACTTTCCCACTCACTATTACAATTTTCAAAAAGCAGTTTGCAACTAGTGTCCATAAAATTTTATAGCAGTCCCATTTCCTACAGTTTACTTTGTTTTCTGCTTGGAAGTCTATGCTTGCTGGATGTTCTCATCTGGTCTAGAGATTATAGCATATGGTAATATTGAATAAATGCAGAGACAAACAGTACTAAACAATGGCAAATGCTTAGTGAAACACAAACCACACAGATCGCTCTGTAGAGATTGCCTCTGCTGCATGAACAACATACATTTAGAAGCCCAGCTAGCAATTTAGAAATTAGTATATACAGTGTTTATTTCCTGACACTGGAGCACTCAAATTTGTAAGCTCTATATTGCATTAAAGTAGGTTTTGGCATATCACTTTTTTAAAAGAGAAACTAGTTGTAAACTGAAGTATACAAATGATATTTAAAAAAAAAAAAATCACACAGTTGGTCAAAAAGAGAGAAAATAACCTTATCTGCAAAGTCTAAGGAAACAAGGAATTTAAATTAGAACGATGTCAAATCTATACATGTGTCTTCCTACTGTTCATTCACATTCCATCTTTAAAAATCCTCTATTTACCACTTTTTTATACTATATTTTTCTTAAGGATTTTGCTGAAGCTTTCCTCTTACCACAGAGTTTCTACAACAAAAAGCAACTATCACTTACACACTAGCTATTATGGTATTTTAATAACAGCTAGACTTTAAAGAGCATGTTTTTAAAGCATTCTGTTGTCATTAAGTAGTCACTGATGCCAATTCTGAGGAAAGCAAGAATGGCTTTTTCTCAGGCTTAACCAAAACTCTTTCACATTCTCTGAATTTCCTAGCAATTAAAACCTAGTGGGTCACTAACTGCAGTCTTAAGAACAACATTCAAAACCACAGCAGGTTATAAATACTATAAACTACAATAAATACAATTACAAGCTACTATTCAACTAAAAATAGTTTTCTAGTGACAAATATATAAACTCAATTCATTTAGAGTAACAGTCTAAATTTTTTACTTTCATTTTCTCCTTTAAGAAACTGAAAACTCAATAAATTTTTATAAACCATATACTAAGACTTGGAAGGAGAGGGAAAAAAGCACCATGTTCTCAATAAGGACAGAATGGCACTCTGTGTAATTATAACTAGGTGAAGGTTGACAATTTATGGTATCAAATCTCCAATCAACTTGATGGACTTCTCTCCCTTCTTAGCAATCATCTTTCCTTCTTTCTAAATTTAGGTAATGTGGTGTTATGTGAACAAAGACAATGATAAAAACAATAAAAAACAAAACCACAACAAAAAAAAGAGTTCAAGGTAAAAATGATGCATAAATGGCAAGTCCTTGGAAGCAAGAAGAGATCCAGATGCCAGACACCTCCTCCTGTTAGTGTGGCAATTAGAAAGTACCACAGACTGTGACTGAGCCTCACAAGAGAGGGAACATAGCAGATACATTAGCTACAAATATACATATACAGATATATACATATATGTATATATATACATATACATATGCGTATATATACATATACATATATATCTTTTTAATTTTTTTAAATATTTTTAATTTTTTTTAATATTTATTTTTGAGAAACAGAGTGAGACAAAGCGTGAGCAGGGGAGGGGCAGAGAGAAGGAGACACAGAATCTGAAGCAGGCTCCAGGCTCCAAGCAAGCGGTCAGCACTGTGAGATCATGACCTGAGTCGAAGTCGGACGCTCAACGGACTGAGCCACCCAGGTGCCCTGCTACAAATATATTTTTAATGCAACTGTGTGAGTTAAAATTACTGGGTATCCTTTAAATATTGGATGCATCTTTAAAGCATTTAAGACTACGTTTACTTTGCATTCCTTATAAGATTAGTGACCCTTAAAACCTAATTTTGGTTCTGTACTGTCAATAATGTACCTTCAGCAGCACACCCAGAAATGCTGCAAGGACTATCCCAAGCCATCCAGACTCACTAGTCTGGTGCCTGCTGCAAACAATAGCTTTAGAGCCTACAGCCTCCCAGCAACACTTTATGTAAGGCTCTCATTTATTTCAAAGGCATTTCCAATAGAACTTTTTCCAATTACTCTAAATG